GAACTGCCAAATTCTTTTTTAGAAATATATCAGTTTTATACATGCTCACACTTACATAACAAAAGGGATTATCTTTGGTTTATGTGGACCATCTACTCACACAGTCTGTCTGTCATCTGCCACCCAACTGGGCCCTAGTCTTTCTGTCAATCTTGTGAATTCTCGTGTGGATTGGTCCCTGATGTTTAGAAAGCCACAGAAATCTATTAACCAATTATTCTAATACAGCTTCTGTCTGTCTCTGCATTTCCTACTACACATCTCTCTTGCAGCCCAAATAAAATAAACATGGACATACAAACTTAATGGTGTAGTAAGTATTTAAATAAATTATATTTACATTGTCATAATTCATTAACTTTTTGTTCAAAAGCCCTCATTAGCTTACAACGTCACTCAGACTAACGTCTTAGGATGACTTTGAAGTATTTATGCATGATCTGCCTCCTCACTCTTTCTCTGACCTTATTTCATATTAATACTTTCTGTTAATTCTGTGATTCTATTTCAGTCACATTGGCTGCCTCACTGTTCTCAAACACTCTATGTATAAACCGACCTCAGGGCCTCTGAGCTTGAGGTTCCCTTCTCTTATTTTCTTTTTCCCTAAATATTTATGTGTCACATGTCCTCTCTTATTTCAGATGTTTACTTAAATGTCACCTTCTCAGGGAGGTCTTTTCTGTTCAGTACAAAATTGCAAACCCTCTCCATGACATTTCATACTCGGTTTATGTTTCCTTTTTCCGTTAGTATTTATCACTCTTTTACACACAACGTATTTTACTTTTATATAATATGTTGTTCATTATCTCCCCAGTTAGAAATTGGGAGGTCTCCATGTGGCTAGAAATTTTGGCTGCTTTTGTTTATTGTTGTATCTCCAGTTCTAACAACAGCAGCTAGCACATAATAGCTGCTCAAAAACTATTTGCTAATAAGTGATTTTTACCACCACTACTGTTATTTGCAAGTATGGGAGACTGGGCTCCCTTCCTGCCACAGGGGTTTTTCTTCCTCTACTGAGACACAGTCTAGGTGATTTTATTCCCTTCTCAACCTCTGTCTGTTACTTGAGAAATTCAGAAGTGGTACTTGTCTATTCCATTCTTCTCCTTCTTTGAAAGAACTATGAAACTAGAACCAGTTATTTAAATTTTCTTGGCTAAGCCTCAGAATTTTTCATCAGTAAAAAGAATATTCCCTTTTCTCCTTATAGTCTTGTAGTAGTGGGACTAAATGCAATTATATAGATTAAAATCACTTGACTCTTGGTATATAGCATAATTCATATTGGAAAAAATATGTATCTAGTTGTCTTCCCTGTTTATACTTCAGAGTTAGAAATTTTAAAGACAATTCATTTAGGTAAAAACTTATTATATAATAAAGTAGAGTGAATCAGTAAAGATATGCAGTAAAGATACCGTGAAGTTTGTCCTTTCTTAAAAACAAGGACATTTCTCTATTAGCTTCTAATGCAGAGTGAGTATAAACATGCTAAGGTGATATTCTTCACACCCGTCAATTCCCTGTTCGTCTTGTTCCTAGCTGTCTCTTATCTAAAGAAATTATGCTGGTGATTTGCTGAACATTTTGTGTTTCTAAGGTTAGGTCTTTTTGTAAAGATTTCTCTAAATGAAGTATCCAATGCTCTTCTACAAAGAGAATGCTTTGGTTTGTTTACTGTGGCTATTTCCCAATTACAACATGACATCTAGATTTCTTGTCTCCCTTTTAAATAACTGCTAGCCACTTAATTATAGCCTGGGTAATGTGAAGCAGATATTTTTAGAACATCCTAGAAATGGGGCTTTGGGAGTCTGTAGGATTTCAGTTAAGGATTGCAGCATGCTTAGAGGCTGTCACTAACCAGAAGCCTATTCTGCACATGGACCAGTTTGAGAGCAAGAGTGTTTATCTTGTCTGTGTGCATAAGTGTGTGAGAAAACATGTATATGTTTATATCGAAGATGTGTCAGTCCTTGGGTCCCAGGACATTCAGAGTTACAAAGAAGGAGAACCAAAGTATCTATAACAACAATTATGGTCTTTTTCAGCTCACTTTTGTCCTACCTATGATTCCCTAATATGCTTAGAGTCCTAGGAACTACCATTTTGTCCGATTGTATTTTCTACATGTCACTAGCAGTAGTTCTCTCTCTCTCTCTCTCTTTCTTTCCTTCTTTCTTTCTTTCTTTCTTTTTCTTTCTCTCTCTTCCTTTCTTTTTTCTTTTCTTTTCTTTTTTTTTCTTGATGGAGTCTCGCTCTGTTGCTCAGGCTGGCGTGCAGTGGCACAATCTCAGCTCACTGCAACCTCTGCCTCTTGAGTTCAAGCAATTCTCCTGCCTCAGCCTCCCGAGTAGCTGGGATTACAGGCGTGTACCACCACGCCTAGCTAATTTCTGTCTTTGTAGTAGAGATAGTGCTTCACCATGTTGGCCAGGTTGGTCCCGAACTCCTGACTTCTGGTGATCCACCAGCCTCAGCCTTCCAAAGTGCCGGAATTACAGGCATGAGCCAGCACGCTCAGCTAGCAATAGTTCTTCTTCTAATCCTAAGAATGAATCAATCAAAATAAAGCCAACAAGACACTTGAATTATTAATGTGCAAAGTATAAACATATATTATCTACTTTAGGTAACCTAAACAAATAATCATTTTCAGCACCCTTAAGATTAAGACTCAAATTAATCATATAGAAAAATAAGCTTTTCATAGTTGTGATTATAGTATAATGTGTAAAAAAGATGAAGGATAAGGATTATAAATAAATAATTACTATAGAAAGATGCTTGGGAATCTCAGGAGGTTCATATATAAGCTTACTTAGGCAGTGAATATGGACAATGCTTCATTAATCCTTCCTTGCAGTCTCGCAGCTTTATTTAAGACTACGTTATACTCTCACCTTCTTTTCCTACATCCCCCTTCTCCCAGTGCGATAGGAAGAGCAGAGTGATAACGTCTTTCGTGAGAATCCACACTGAGATGGGGTGAACAATGGGGCAGTTAGAGTTTTCTCGAGGTGTGTTTTTGTTTGTTTTTCTTTTAGACAGTAGGTACAAGAGTCATTGGTAGGTACACTTTAGATTCTAGAGCCATCTGTTGACAAGCTATGAAAGCTCTATGGTGTTAAGAACTGCAGAGAGTTTGAACACCAGGTAACTGGAGTGTCCCTATTGACAAACTAAACTTCGTAAGAAATACTTCTAAATAGATTTGCTCTAGCAGCTTCCTTGCACCAGGTAGTAGAGGTAACAAAAGCTTCTTGAAGGTGGTACCTCCTTTCCTAATGTGTCTGAGTAGCTTCTCTTCCTATTATCATCTTATTCGTTCTGTGTACCTTCTTTTAAGCACCTCACTCTACAAGACTGCTTCCTGTCATCACCCTGCTCTTGTCTCTTATATCCATTTCGAAGGATAGCTGAGGTGAGCACCTGGACATTTCTGAAAACACAGAGGGGGAAATGCTGTTAACATTTCTGACCGTGCAGATTTCCTCCCTTGCTTTGATTATGTTGTAGGGAAAATTAGCAGGAGTATCACACGGCTATGGATTGCCATTTCATAAAATACCTTCGCCCCAGTTTTTTTTTTTTTTTTTTTGGTCATGCTTGGAAAATACTTTAGAACTCTTTGTTAAACATGAGAAATGTCTGCTATGGTTACTTGCCAATGATCCTCAGCAGTGACCATATGGCTTCTCATCTTTAGCGTAGACTGTGACTTAGGAACTGTGTTTTGATGTTCAAGAGTTCATCTTCTGTTATTGATGCCAGCTGAGCCACCATCCATAAAATGTGAATAATAAAATGAACTACTCTGAAAGGTAAAGAACAGTAATAAATTCTTCCCATCATTCTCAAGTGATATAAATATGTGATAAATTATGGTAGAGCCCATGGTAGAAGGAACACATTCTGGGTACTTCAGAAGATGGATGTCTTTAATTTTTTGGATTACTTTAGATATGATGGGTTTGGCAGTTAATTCCTTGGGTATGTGTATGTGTAGGTTATGTGTGTAATACTAAGCCAGTAATTCCCAAACTTTTCACTATCTAAATACTATCTTCCTGCCCTTTTGTACATATATGTTTCATATTCCAAAGATTGTGTTAACTCCAAACTTGATTTTATCAATATTAATAAGTGCATCCCTCCATTAAAAATAACCACTTTCAGAACTTATAGTTATCAGGTAATAGCTAATATTCTGGCTGTTACAACTTGAAACACAGAAGACAAATTTCGCATTTTTGTCAATCATTGCAGACTAATTGTGAGAAAGTTCATGGTTTTGATGAAATAGTCAGCAGAGTATAATCATCTTCCTCCCTGTGTTTTGGGGCCTCTAACATCCAGGAACAGCAGATTGAACAACTTGATAAAGTATTGCCAAATTCAGCTTTAGATGCAGGTTCTCTAGGCAAGTGTAATTCTTAGGAAATTAGAGCATGATGTTATCCATATATTAAAAGTAATGGCAGAAACCACAATTACTTTTGCATCAACCTAATGATTTCAAAAATCTTTGGGTTACTTATTCTAGAGAATGAGCTAGAAATAACAAAAATATTTTGACACAGTCGTAATTAACAATGATAAAATAACTTTAGGTGAGTCAAGAGAAAGCATCTTTTCTAGTGATCATTTAGCTTTTAATGTGTATTGTAGAACCGTCGCAGTCACATCATTTTCCATTCTTCACGCCTGCTGATCCACAATTGCAAACACTAGAGCAGCCTTTCTTTTCTTTAGAAGAAACACTACTATATAAATTATTCTAATTATGAATTCTTAAGTTTTAATACTGTGGATATATTATAAGTTCCTAGATAGTTTTAAATTTTTTAATAATATATTTGCACTATTCATCTATTCCTAACGCAACTACATTATGTGCCAAACTAGGATGGGGTAGAGTGGCATGTACTCAAGAAACATTATGATTCCGAGTTAAAACATGAAGTGATAAATAACATTTCTTTCTCCAGAGACTGGATCTCCAATTACAGCGTCATGTGTTGGATTAGGCAATTCTAAAACACCTCCACCAGGGCAAGCAGGAAAAAGTGTTCCAGGATACAATGGTAAGGAGTGACCCTGATAATATGTAATGTTAATAAATGTGGCATTTTCTTGCATCTGGTATGTATTATATTGCATGAAACAAACTAGATGCTTAATTAGAATTCAGTTGAATGAATGTCTTGTATTAAAAAAGAATGCCTGAATTTTTGCTATGGAAAGTAGGTTGTGGATTTCCAGGATATGTTCTAAATGACTGTCGTAACCACAAAAATAATGTCATTTATAAGGTATGTTAGGAATATGGGTGTGAAATTACTATGAAGGAAACACCTGCTGGGGCCCAGTACTTTACATACATCATTTCATTTCATGCTGAAGTATATTTAATTCAGAGCTATCATTACTATTTTAGAGATGAGTTAACAAACTAGTTAACAGACTAAGTAGTTTTCTTAACACCACTGGTTAGATCCTGGGGACAATGCAAACCATTGTCCTCAGAATTTGCTTGCTTTCATTTCAAAAGCTGCAATTTCTTATTATATATTACACCTGCTGCCTTTTAATTTAGGAGTGAGGACAAAATTTTTAAACCTTATTGTTTAAAAATAAAAACAGACCAGAAGTAGAGGTTCATGCCTGTAATCCCAGCATTTTGGAAGGCCAAGGCAGACGGATCACATGAGGTCAGGAGTTTGAGACCAGCCTGGCCAACATGGTGAAACCTTGTCTCTACTGAATATACAAAAATTAGCCAGGTGTGGTGGTGTGCGCTTGTAATCCCAGCTACTTGGGAGGCTGAGGCACGAGAATTGCTTGAACCCAGGAAGCAGAGGTTGCAGTGAGTTGAGATCATGCCACTGCACTCCAGCCTGGGCAACACAGTAAGATTCTGTATCAAAAGATAAATAAATAAATAATAAAAATAAAAACAAAGGGGGAGAATCCCAAAAGAACACATTTATTTGGTGCTGACTTTATGTGACTAAAAGCTATAATATCCTGTCAATTTTTGTTTTTAAATTTAGGGTAGTAATCATTATTCAGTAATTTCCCTTGGATGGCTCTCCCTAGGTGTATAAATTATACAAGTCATCTAACTTTTCAAACATTGTTTCCTTATTTCTAAATAAGAGTAATATTTTCATATGCTTTCCAGGGATTCTGTTTTGTGATGTTATGCAACAAAGCATTAACACAGCGCCTACCAGTAGAAAGACAGAATACGTCTTAGCTAGTAGTGCTACTAATATTTCAGGAAAGTCGGAGGACTGACTTGAGTTAGACTACCACATTCATTTTACAGACAAGGAAAATGAGGCACAGAGGTTTTGTAAGTTGCTTAAGGTCACACAGTTTGGCTTAATAGAACTATGAAGTAAACCCAGCTTCGGGAGACAAAATATGATTCCTGACATATATTTCTTATTTGTATGTAAACTACAAAATTCAGAGATTTGTCTTTTGCTTCTCTAACATAAAAATATTGGATTTTCCTTCTAGGACAATGACTAGTTACAAAAGCATGGATCATTTGGTTTAACCTAGCAGATACATTTATAAAAAGACACTTCAGATTTTATTATTATTATTATTATTCGGGGCAGAAATAGATATTCTGTGAAGTCAGTGACTTCTCCAGCCCTGGAATGGTGAACCCAGATTTAGTGAAATCCTCTGTTTGAACAGTCTGTCATCTCTTCTCCTTTTATCAGAAAAAAATGCTTTTATGTTGAGACATTTTTAGGGGTTTCTGATGGTGGAAGATGTTAAACACATTTCTCTGTTAGTATTTCAGTACCATTTTTCTATCTAGTTGTAAGAAATAGTTACGCTTTTTTCCCTCATGTAACTTTAATACAGAAGTTTCTCATTGTCTGAAGGCACTGGCTTGCAGACAGTATAGGTTAAACATTTATAACCAATGAACCAGTGACTTTATGACTGATAAATTTTACGTTTTGTGATTGTTTAGAAATTAAAATCTTAATGTAAGATTAAATAGTATAGTAATAAAAATGGCAGGATCCTTTTAGGAAAGAAAAGAAAATCCTTTTTGTATAAAAACATTTAATTTAATGTGACACATTTATTGAGTACCTTATGCAAGCTTGTCACTTTGTATACATTTTAAAAATACTTCTTGCATAAGCGCTATGACAAAGAAACTTCTCCCATTTCATAGACAGGGAAACTGAATGGGTAACAGAATGTGCCCAGGGGCATATAGTGATTTGGCCATTGTACTGGGATTTAGGGAAACAAAGATAAATTAGCCATGGCCTTCATGAACTCACAATCTAATGAGATACAGGTACTTCTCCTAACTGTCAATACAGAATTTTAAAACAAAGTGCTTCAGGAACACAAAGAAGGGAACGATTAATTTTTTTTTTTTTTCTGAGAGCAACAATCTTCTCTTCTCATAGCTGCTTAAGGTAGAATTACCTGGATGAATGAGGCCACATACATAATCTATTAAAGCCTAGAAGATGATGACTTATCTTCATATTTAGTTTGCACCAAGGGTTACTGAATGTGGATACAAGCTTTAATCTCCTAAACTCTTTTAGGATTTTATCAGGACAGCACAGAAAGTACTGAGATAATATTTGGGAGGATGAAATTGACCTAATTTAAAGCTCCTAAGTGGATATTAAGCTTTAAATCAGAATAAAGGGTTTTTGGTGCTTGTAAGTCTTTTATTTTTGTTGCGTATAATAATTTTTGGTATGTTTGAAAACTTCATTTCCTTTACTTTTTAAAAAGCTGAACATATTTTTAATGGTTCTAATAGATTACAAGGATATATTTAGTGGACATAGACATAGAGGTGAAATTATCACATGTTTGAAATATGATGTCTTCATTTAAGGGATATTCTGAAGGAAAATGTTTGATGTTGTTAAGAATCAAATACATGTGCTCTTTTTTTTTCTAAGATATTTTAATTTATATATGTTCATGGTCTCACAGGAATTAAAATATTACTTTCTTAAGCTAGAGTTTTGTGGGTTGAATATAAAAATATAGAAAAATGTTTAAGCTTTAAAGTTACGTATTTTTATTCAAATATTTATATTTTACTTTGTAGTTATGATTTTGGATGACAACATGCAAAAACTGAAGGCTCGGTGTTTAGGAAATATTGTGGTAAAGTAAGCAAAAATTTCAATACTACTATTTTAAAGGGCAAAAACTGGTGTATATATTAAGAAAAAATTGAGTCATTGCAGTGTTATTGCTACTGAGGCAGTTGTAGAAAGAACTTGTGTGTTGCCTAAGAACTGTGTCAGCTGTTTTGTAGTTTAAACATAGAAGCCCCATAAAATACAACCAATTTCAATGCAGTTTTCAAAAACCACAAATTTTGCATCTTTTTAAATAACTTTCTTTTTCATTTTACAGGTTATGTATAGATGATACAGTTAACTTACATACAAAAAATAAAAACACGTAAATAAAGTTTCTGTACTCTCGCCTCTCAGCAATACATTATTAATTTTGTAATATATATGACTTTCTACATTATTTTTGGTATAGATTCAGGGGTACATTTGCAGGTTTGTTTCATGGTATATTGCATAATCCTAGGGTTTGGACTTCTAGTGAACCCATCACCCAAATAGTGAACGTAGTATCCAATAGGTTTTTCAACCCTTAACTCCCTCCCTCACACATTTTGGAGTCCCCAGAGTTTCTTGTTTTCATCATTATGTCCATGTGTACCCATTACTTAGCTCTCACTTATGAAAGAGAACATGCAATATTTGATTTTCTGTTTCTGATTTGACTTTCCACTTTTTGACAAACATTTTACAATGGTGAATCAATTTATTTTTGTGTATTCCTGTTTTCCCTTACGGTTGTCTCACAGGCATGTTTAATTTTTACTCTGTTTTTAAAATTTTTATCCCTGGTATAGGCTTCTTAGCATTTTTTGAATTTTATGATTATAAATAATACTATATTAAACATTTTTTGGTCTTGTTTTTCTGCTTTTCTGATAATTGCAATAGTATTGAAGAGATTGCTGAAAGTATAATTACTGCATCAAACAGTATCATCTTATAAAGTTCCAGACTTACCAAATATCCCATCTTCTTAACATTTTTTTAATCATTGTTCATTTGATAGGCAAAAGTGCTACCATTTAAAGTGAAAATATTTAAATTTACTTTAATTATATCAAGACAGGTACTTTAAAATTTGTGTGCTAGTGGAAGCAGAAATGGAAGTTGATTAAGTTAGAAGGTTCACAGTATGTGATATTTTAATAATTGAAAGAGAGGTTGCTTTAGTCCCTCTGATTAGCATGATATTGACATCTTTACTGATGGAGTTTAAGTAGTAGAATTCACCAGATTGAGCTACTATAAATACAGACCATCAGGTTTTAAAAATGATTTGCTTTCCTATTTATTTCTATTGGAAGTCAAAAGAACTCTTATTACTTGGCATTCTCAAATTGGTATAAGATTGCTTCCTATAAAGAAGATATTTTAAATTCAATGAAAATTATATGAAAAATGGTGGTTTAAAAAGAGGATGTTTCTTCAGGTAAAGATATTTTAACTATATAGAAAGCTAATAGAAAGCATACAAGTTATGATGTAATTCTTCTCATGCTCTTATCAGTAAACATGTAAGCACTATGTTACTTTGTTAAAAGTTTCCATTTTAAAACAACATATCCAACAAAATGAAAAAATTAAATATTGAACATACCATTTGTATTCACAGTTCTCTGAGCCGGAATCTGTAGTAACATACAGCTAATTCAAATTTGACCTGTTCAAGGGAAAAGCAGCAAGGGAAGAAGGGAAGGGCTGCTAAAGAAATTAATAATTTGAACATGTTTGTGGGTGGATGTTTAGCTTGCTTAGGGAATAAAATGTTTTTTGAAAGCTTTTCAAAGCACTTTAGCAGCATACATTTTTATATAACCTCCTAACTTTGTGAGTCATCTATTTCATAAAACAACCTTTTGCAAGATCTCAGAGGTGGCATTTGATGCCAGCACGGTTTTAAACTCCTCATCTGTTTTGTCACTCTAATTATGGGCTGCTTCACCCCACATCCATTCAGAGATAATAAAATATAGCAGTGTCCCACGTAAACTGTAATTTTTTTCTTATAGCCATTAGTGTTATTTCAAATACTTAAAACTAACAACTATTGCCTTAAAGCGTTCTATGGTTTAGATTGTCACCAATTCACAATTATATTTTTCCCTCTGTATTCCTAAAAGAATTTTATTGTACAGATCTGGGGTTCTGAGATTTCATTATAAATTAGTTGATGATGTAATATGTTATGACAAACAGTAGATTTGATTCCTGTCTTAGGTTAACAGTGAAACTAGATATTTGAATATATTATAAATCTTTTTGTATTAGAAAGGTAAGGTAGAAATAATCAGAAAACAAAGGTTACCACCAAGATTTATCTCTCTCCTGTTCTCTCTGTAACAAAACAGATTTTGAAACCTTTTTTCAGGAACTCATTTTATCTACGAGAGCAAGAATTTCCTTTTGAAACCCACATTGCCAGCAGCCATTTCACTCTAACTTATCAACCTGAAAAGGATTCACATATCCCAATGGCTGCCTGCAGTATGAGTAGGATGTTTTTATATTTAACATCTATAACATTTCACATTATAGATCTTAAGACTCATTGTGTAGGTTCATATTTAGAAATAGTAATATGTGGAAACAAACAAACAAGTAAACAAAAACCAAAAAACCTTTTGATCCACCTAGATTTTTCTACATTCTTTTTTATGACATTCTGAAAAGCACTGCTTTGTTCTCCTGGGGACCCCTTGACTAGAAGTTGGCCATTTAGGCAACTCCTAAACTACTATAGGCCTTAGGATATAATAAAAAGGAATCCTGCAATTTTAGTGTTTTATTAGATTACTTACATTCATAGAATTTATCTTTCTAGTAGAAGAGAGAATTTCATGTCCACATGAACGTTAGAAAATTCTTTTGATTTGGAAACCTACTCCAGGCAGTTAATTTAGTAAGAAAGTTATGGGATCTGAATTCCTATGAATACAAAATACTCATCAGTTTTAGAAGGTGTTCGTGTAATTGCATCCAGAGCTCCAAAGTGCAGAAATAAAACTATGAGTCAGTAATTTCCAGGCAACAGACAGTATGGCATGAAAGAAAATTTTAACTGCAATTGCCTTTCTTCCTAGCACAGTGCTCATTGTTATTAAAGCCGTAGGTCTCTGGCTCTTTCTCTCTGATGGACAAACATTTTTCTCTGACCAGATCCATTGTTGCTATTGGAAGTGTGGCCTGTTCACCCTGTGCTGTATCCTGCAAGCCATAGTGGGGTGTGAGGGAGTTGTATGGAATTGTCCGGGTGGCTTTTACTTTAGTGCCTGCCAATTTCTCATTCTTCAGATATGGTTAACGACACCTATTCACATATTTACAGCTTCATATGAATGATTCGGTCACTGTGTTGCCATCTTGGGAAAGAGTCAGGGAAGCTTTCTTTTCATCAGGGTATCCTTTGAGTATAACTAAGCATGTCACATAATTATAATCCTGTTCCTTTCTAAATCTCATATACCGTTTTGACTGTGATATTTTATTAGCCTTTTAACAACACTATGAGTTAGGCAATAGGCAAACATTATCCTCCTCATTCTAGACATTACAAAGTATGCAACATTAATACTTTCACAGCTAGAACTCACATTATTGCCCAGTCTTTTGTCTGCGCCGAGGGAAATAAATTATGGTCAATCTCTTCTGGGGAGATAAAAAGTAACTTCATATGAAAATCTTGAGAAAATTCTAAGGACCCCATAGGAAATACTGAGAGTGCAAAGTTGGGATTTAACCCAGATCTCTCTAGGGAACAGTCTTCAATTTATTTCTATTGCCATGGAAATTCCAGATGGAGCAGTGAAAAATAGACCATTTTTTATCTAGGATAGGAGGCATCTAGGAGTGTAATATTTCAGATTGGCCAGGAATGTGTTACCTTCTAGGGTGACGGACATCCTTTGTCCTGCCCTAGCTATTTAAGGATTTCTCAGAACTCTAATTCTTCCCTTCCCACGTGACTGTCACTGCTGCTTCACTTATTCACCTTTCCCCTTCAGAATGGTCTTTTAGGAAAGAGAATTATCTAAGAGGACTCTCAATTCATAATTGGATGAGTTGTACCAAAACTCCCTCTTTCACTCTGCTTGGCAGAGTTGGGGAAGGTATCACGAGGTGGTGGCATTTGCTTTCACATTTGAGGGATGAGTATAGGTATCAACTAGTTCATTTCTTGGTATTTTTGCATCTTTCCCTTCCTTCTGCCAATCCAACACATTTTTACATTCTTGTAACTGTAGAAAAAAAATTCTTTTTCTATAACTTTAGAAAAAGAGCTCCAGTGCACCCCATTGTTCCAGAAGGAAGACCTTCACTTAATGTGTAATAATCCTTAACAATAAGAAGAAAGGTGTTCATTTGAAATACTGGAAAAAAAAAAAATTCTGCTGTAGCTCATATGCACCTAATATCTATCTGGATCTTATGGCTTCTTTTCCCATGTTTTCTTTCATTGATCACATTTTCTTATCACATGTTTACACATATATATGTAAATACATATATGTATGTATGCACATGGAGCAATCCCTATTATCCATAGTTTCACTTTGCACAGTTTCAGTTACCTGTGGTCGACCACAGTCCAAAGTTATTAAATGGAAGATTTCAGAAATAAATAATTCACATGTTTTAAATTGCACACCATTCTGAGTAGGTGATGAATTCTTTTACTGTCCTGCTTAGTCCTGCCAGGATGTGAATCAGCCCTTTGTCCAGTATATCCATGTTGTCTATGCTACTGTCCTTTAGTCACTTAGTAGGCATCTTGGTTATCAGATTGGCTGTCTAGGTGTCTAGTGCTTGTGTGCAACCAACCTTTATTTTACTTAACAATGACCCTAAAGCACAATAGTAGTGATGCTGGCATATTGTTCTAAGTGTTCTATTTTGTTATTAGTTGTCGCTGTTCTTCTCTTACTGTGCCTAATTTATAAATTAAACTTTATCATAGCTATGTATGTATAGGAAAAACCTTATTATATGTAGGGTTCAGTACTACCATGGTTTCAGGCACCCACTGAGAG